GAGAGAATAAATACAAAAAGGAGAGAATTTGGGAGAAAGATGCTCAGGGCCAGAAACCAGCAGCTGCCAGCCAGCCAGCCATAGAGGCAGCAGGAAAGTAAGATATACAGAAAGAAAGAAAGGTAAAAAGACCCAAGGCAAAAATGTATATAAAGAGAACCATTAAAATAAGAGCTAAGAGAAGACTGAGCATCCATAACTAATAGTCATGAATTGGGAGCTGGATAGTGGTCCAAAAGGAAAAGCTTGCTATATGTATGCGTGCGTGCGTGCGTGAGTGTGTGTGTGTGTGTGTGTGTGTGTGTATGTATCTAAGGGAGACCAAACATAAGTAGTGGTGCATATGTGTGGATCGCAAAGTTGGGATCAGGTGTCTTCCTTGATCCCTCTCCAGCCTATACTTGCTGAGGCAGGATCTCCTGATGAACCTAGACTCTGCCAATTCTGGCTAGTCTAGCTAGCCAGGTTTGCTCCAGAGTCTGTCTCTGCTACCAGAGCACCAGGGACACACCTTTACATAATTAAACAAATAAAGAATAAATAAGTGTAACACATCTTTACATAGCTAAATATTCAGCAAAACACACACACACACATATATATATGTGTGTGTGTATATATATATATATATACATATATATATATATATATATATCACAGCCCCATTTTCTTGTGGGGCTGGGAATACACTCTGTGCCTTGTGTGTGCTCCACATGTGCTCTGCCTCTTGATTACATATTCCCAACCCCTGCCCTACTTCACATGGGTCCCCAGGATCTGAACTCTGGTCCTTATCATGCACGGCAAGTGTTTTATCCACTTAACTGTCCTCTCAGTCCAATGCATACTTAGAATTTTTTAAAGACTTATTTTGTATGTATGAGTGTTTTACCTGAATGTATGTGCCCAGTGCCTTTGGAGGCCAGATGAGGTTATTGGATGCCCTGGTACTGGTGTTACAGAAGATTGCAAGCTGCCTTATGGGTGAAATTAAACTGGGTCCTCTGAAGAACAGCCAGTGCTCTTAAACCCTGAACCAGCTCTCCAAACGCCCACACACATCCTTCTGAATGGATGGTTTTAAGTTGCTGCTCATCACAGAATGTCTTCCCAATTATCCTCATCTTGCCTTTTCTCCCTACCAATTTAAAACTGGCATCTCAAGTCACCAATAGAACAAGGGGGGGAAAGCCCTTGAAGTCTGAAAATAACCTGACACACATAAATCCTATTGTTTTCCTACTATACACAAACATAAAACACTCAAGATCTCAGGATGACAGGCCAAGTGGCAACAATTACTAGACAAAGGCAATTGGGTGTGGCTTCTGTAATGGGAAGTGGTCAGCTGTTGAGGATAGCCAGATCTCTGGTGATGGCTAAGTGGTCAAGGTGTTCTATGAATGGAATAGGAAACCAGGCTATGAATCTCACATTTTCTGTGTTAGTGGAAAGTTCTAGATGTTTGTGGCAGCTGCGGGTGATAAAACATGAACCACAAAACCCAACAAAACCCACATGGAGTTCATTGAGGAAAGGGAGCAAAGCGAGGGGTAGGTGTTGGCCAACCAGGTACAGAGATGGCAGGGAGGAACAGGTGGGAGGTGCTCCCTTAGACGGGAGAGCTTCCACCTGTGTAGAGTCCTTATGCAGCCATGTAACGTAGGACCCTTTGAGTTGTCTAAGTATCTGCCTGAAGGCTGGTATTTGTACCCTGCCAGTTGTCACGTGGGTGGGGATCAGCATAATGCCAGGATATCAACACTAGATTGAGTGAAGAAAGCCAGCTTGAATCACACAGAGACATAGTCAGTCAGCTCTGGGATTGATCCAGTTTGCAAACCCAGAAACCCCTGAATTTCAAGAGGCCACTTCCTCACATTTTTACCTCTCCCCACCACTTTTACTAAGGTGCCTCCTTGATGGGAAAAGACTTAAACACAGGTTCTAGACAAATATTAATTTCAAGGAAACCAAACCTCACCGTAGAGTACGAGAGTTGAGGTCTTCTGGAGGTCCAGTGATTGATACAACTTTGATTCAGGTGCATCTCTCACCTGGTTCTCATGGGTCCTGAGCCCATCCCACAGATCAGAAAACAGACACATTTAGCAACAGGCACAATTTCCATACTGGTCCACTAAAAGTTATGGTGGGAAAGCCCATCTGTCTCAACCATGTCAAATATAAACCAAAAGCAATCCTGCATAGGTAAACCCCACTATGTCTCCATGCAGAAGACAGACTGATTCTGGGAGAATAGCAATGGATTGTGATAGTCCTAACCACATGGTATCTCCAATTGCAACTCTTGTAATAGATATGATGGAGGGTAGCATAGAGAATAGTTTAGCAATCTGGAAGTCCTTTTGGTTTGGGCTATACACACACTCATCTTTCAATAATGCACTTGGAAGCCTGAGTCGCTTACCTGCACTGCATGTACTATACTTTCCTCTGAACAATACATCCAACCACCTGTTAGCAAGCCAGGGCCCCTTGTTCATGAAGCCCTCCCACCCCTTGAATGGTGGAATAAATAACTTCTCCCCTTAATACTTATTAAACTTGGATGGATTCTAGTAAGTCATGCTCTACCACTTAGGAGTAGGAAGGCTAATCTGCTGAACTGGTTTTGAATGCATGTGCATGCACAATGATGCGAACTGTGTCCTTAAAGTGAACCTTAAAGGAAAATCCCATTACCAAATATGCCTGTGCATAGATAATCAGATACAACATGGGAGGGGCCATGTAGATCAGAGAAATGGTTATATAATTTGATGTCAAGCAAAATTGAGAACCACTCAATCTATGCCACTAATAACCAAACTCCTCTTGAATCCCATAAAAGCCCCAAACAATAATGGGGACATTTAAATACCTTCACTCATGTGGTCTGCTGTCAGTCTTGACTGTATTCCTTTCTAACCAGTACTGTCATTTTACTTAATTTTTTTTATTAATTTATGGGGCCAGAGAGATGGCTCAGTGGTTAATAGCACTTGATGCTTTTCCAGAAGACCCAGGTTTCATTCCTGACACCCACATCAGGCAGCTCATGCCTGTCTGTAACTCGAGCTCCAGGGGATCCAAAGCCTTTGACCTCTGTGGTAGTTTTCAATAGGAATGACCCCCATAGGCTCACTTGTTTGAATGCCTAGTCATTACAGAGTGGTGCTACTTGAGAGGGATTAGGTTGGCCTTGTTGGAGGAGGTGTGGCCTTGTTGGAGGCAGTGTGTCACTGGAGGTGGGCTTTGGTGTTTCAAATGCTCTTAGTGCCTCTCTCTGTGGAGGTGATGTAGAACTCTCAGCTGCTTCTCCTGCACCATGTCTGCCTACATGCATGCTTCGATGCTTTCCACCATGATGAAAATGGACTAAACCTCTGAAACTGTAAGCCAGCCCCAATTAAATGCTTCCCTTTGTAAGAGTTGCATAGTTATGATATCTCTTCACAGCAACAGAACACCGGTACCTGGTAAACACCTGTTAACATGGCAAAGGCTTTTTATCCATGTTACCAATAAGGACCACTAAAAGCAGTTTGTTTCCAGCTGGCCAGGCTAGCAATACCCCTTTACTGACTTGTCTCAGGGATGTACTTTCCAGCTTGTCAGATTGAGTCACAGCAAACTGGACTGCTTTTCCATTCCATGAGATACCATACTGGTCCACTCATTGAAGACCATATACTAACTGAACCAAGTAAACACAAGTTCTGTTGTATGAACTTTTCCTGGGAAGATGTAAACAAATGTCTACTTACCCACATAGGATATCACAGCAGATCAAAGCAGCTGTCCTCTACCAAAGGCCAACATGGCCAACAGATGAGCTCAAATTCCTTACAGGTTCACTGAGAAGGCTCACACCAACACAGATGAAGACTTCCCATAGCTGTATAAATGCAGTCCTTCCCATAACCTTCCATACTCTATATATACTCTAGCACTCTAGCTCCTTCTGAGACCGGATTATCTTCAGCTGGGTCAGAACTACATTCAGCTGTCAGGGAAATGTAGGTTAGAGGGGCAGATGTCTTGGGTGCTGGAAAACAGGCTTCCTATCTTGAGTGTCTCTTACAATGAGTCACACCTACTTTGATGAAGATGGCAACATTTGTTCAAGTATCAACACCATACTGTGAGATATTTACTAGCCAGGAAGTAGAAAAATCAATCCAACAAAAATCCAGTAGCCTACTAACCTTTCTAGGTGAGCAATTAAATAGTCAAATTTGGTCTTTCTACACTCAACAAAGATGCATAGCATCTGGCAGACTTTGGAGCTAACATATTCACCTGGATAGGGGACTGTGGTCCATTTTCCAGATGCCCTGAGAGGCATGGATTACAAGGTGGGCTTTGCACAGATGCAGGATGCCATGCAAGATGCTTGTATCTTGGCCGTATGGGCCAAAAGGTCTGATGGTCCATAAAGGGGCAGGACAGAGGCTGTTTGGGGCTCCCTATAGCTGAACTACATTGTAAGCTTTTTTTTTGTTTTTTGTTTTGTTTTGTGTTCTTTGTGTTTTTGTTTGTTTTGTTTTTAAGATAGGGTTTTCTCTGTTTAATAGCTCCAGTTTTCCTGAAACTCACTTGGTAGACCAGGCTGGCCTCAAGCTCACAGAGAGCCACCTGCCTCTGTCTCCCAAATGCTGGGATTAAAGGCATGTGTCACCACTGCCTGGCTAAATTTTATTAATTTTTTAAAGTTTTATTTATTTCATGTGTAGTAGTGTTTTGCCTGTGTGTATGTCTGTACACAATATGTGTAGTGCCTGCAAAGGCCAGAGAGGGAATCCAATCCCTCGGAATTGGAGTTAAATGGCTGTGAGCCACTATGTAGGTGCTAGGAACTAAACCGAGTCCTCTATAAGAGCAAAAAGTACTGAGCTGTCCCGTCCCCTCCAGCCCCTGACACTTTCTAGAGAGACTTCTTCCCCAACAGGCGTTGGTAACAGTATGAAAATTCTTAGAAAACAAACTGATAGCAATTAAGTTCATAATAAATTTTATAAGACAATGAAGTGATTTTTCAAAATTTTGGAACAGTTCTCATAAAAAAATAAACTGACAAAAACACAGAAATGTTGAAATGATGGACTGAACCATGGATGCTCAGAAAGGTGGGCTCCTGAAGTGGCTCAGCCCACCCTTCTTGAATCACAGACTTAACAGCCTCAGCTCTCTTAACTTCCATGCACTTCATTTCATAAAAATAATACAAACCATTTTAAATCATTTAAAACAGAGCAAAAAATGAGATTAGAGAGAAGTCACATCCTCAGGGTAGCTTTGCAATACACAGGACAAAAATAGCAGATTCAAAAACACACATAGTCTGTATCCTTGCATATTTATAGATGAAGACTTAACTATCATATAAACTAACAAGCTAGGCCAAGAATGGCCACCCATGCCTATAGTTCCAACACTCATGAGGCCACAGCTGAAGGATCTTAAGTCTGAGGCCATTCTGGGCTGTAGAGAGACACTGTCTCAAAAAAAAAAAAAAAAAAAAAAAAAAAAAAAGAAGAAAAAAAATTAGCCAGCTATATTCATTCTTCAGGTATATTAACTTCACCATACTTCATATACATTTATACTTGGAATGAGGCTGAAGCAAGAAAAACACAACTAGCACTGGGCTGTTAACAAAAAATTAAAAATATTAATTACTGTGAAATACCAAATGAAAACCAACCCCAGATTAACAAAACAAACTTCTGATTAGATAAATAAATTCTTCTTTTTTCCTTAACTAAAAATGTACACTATCAGAAGATCCTGATTAAAGTAAAGAAATATATAAAGCTGGAGCAGGAAGTAAACTTGATACATGGCTCTTCTCCGAGGTCTACTGGTCCAACTGCCGGCCGGCCATCCGAGTCCCTGGGCGCTCAGCGGAGCGTGACCAGCTCTTCTGAAGAGGTAGGGTGAATGGCAACCGTGTTGTCAAAGTCGGCCTTGGTGGCCCCCATTTTCACTGCTACAGCGAAGCCCTGAAGCATTTCATCACACCCAATCCCCTGCATGTGGATCCCAACCACCTGCGAGAAAACAGATTACCATCGTCAGATTTATATCAGCCACATGTCCCTGAGATAATTATGACAGCTCAGTGGTATTCTACTTGGCTGGAAATGCCTGAGTCTCTGTATTCCACCTCCACCACCACCAACAATAACAATAAAACCACTCTAGAACTCTGATTATATTTCTAATCCAAAGTCAGTGTAAGTAAACCTACGAGGCCCTGTGCACAGCCCTGCTTCAGAGGCTCCCTCCAGCTCACACCAGGCATTTCCTTCTTTTGCTTTCCTCCTGTCCCATGCACTTCTCTTTGAACATGATGTCTCTCTGTCTGATGAACTTCTTTCTCTCGCCTTTTTTTTTCCTGACAGGGTCTTTAACCCAGGCAGGCCTCAAACTCCCAATCCTCCTGCCTCAGCCTCCTGAGGGCTGAGATCACAGTGTACACTACCATGCCTGGCTTTCTTCTCTTCCTAAGAGCTAAAGTCATTCATTAACCAGACAGCCACAGACCTGTGCCTTTCCATTCATTAACCAGATAGCCACAGACCTGTGCTTTCCTGACCCGTTAATTCTGTCCCCTGCTCTCTAAGTACCAGTAGCTCTGTCAAGGTTCTAAGACAGTCACAAGATTGAGGAGGGACTACACAATTACAATTCAATCCCTGTTTCTGTTGCAAGAGCAGCAGGAATCCTGCATTTCAGTCATAAAGGGACTTGGGAACCCAGAGATCAGAGTGTGACCCTGGTAAAATGGGAAGAGAGGGGCAGGGTCCCGCTGACTCAACTGACGTGACAATTGCAGGCCTCTGAGGACTGTTCTGGCAGCAAGTTGTGTTTTGTTGCCACAAACCCCTCTCCTCTGAGGTCCTGCACTAAAAAAACCAGACCGTGTCTCATGACTTTCTGTGTTGAAGGCCATCAAATCACATACATAGTTTGTAATTATTAAATTCACTTTTGTTTTCTATTTTATTTATGTATGAGTGCTCTATCTGTATGTACAACTTTATGCCAGAAGAGGGCATCAGACCCCACCATAGATGGTTGTGAGCCCCATGTGGTTGCCAGGTATTGAACTCTTCAAAAAAAAAAAGTTGAGGACCCCAAACCAAATGCATTGTCTAAATTTTAAAATAAGACCCATTCAAGTACAGATCAAAACCATACTGAGAAACCACACAACACTCACTGACTCGGCTACACAGAAAGAGACTGGTGAGGCTGGGAGAAATAGGAACACTGGCTGGGGGGAAAGAAAACCCTGCAGAACACCAAAACCCATTTGGCAGATCCTCAGAAAGCTTAAAAAAAAGTTGTCTAAACTTTTGCTTTATTGTTTTATCCATTAAGTTTTAGATCATATTATATTAAAACACATTTATCACTTTTCACTTTTAAGGTTTCTTTCATTTTCATTTATGCTTATGTGTATGTCTCTGTAATTCTGTACACATGCTTGGGGGTACCCTCTGAGGCCAGAAAAGGATTCCGGATCCCCTTAAAGCTACAGTTGCAGGTGGCCAAGAGCCACCTAACTGAAGCAAGTGCTAGAGACCCACATCCAGGTCCTGCAAGAGCAGCCAGTGCTCTTGACCACTGGGCCATCTTTCCGTGCCCCTTTACCTGTCTGTTCTGGGTTAGGGGTCAATGACAAGTTTTTATTTTCCCTCCCGATTGATTTTCTTTTTATCTTTAAGATAGCCATTCTTCTTTGCAATGCTGAGAGTCAAACCTCCTTTTTAAAAAAAGGAACAGAATTTTGTTTCTAATATAAAGAGTCCCAAAATACATATATGACAGAAAATGTTTTCCCAAATACCTTTTCCTCTTTGTTGGCACAAACCATTTTCATCACACATTTTGTCTTCCTTGTGGTCACAGCATGATACATTGGGGTAAAAGTAGTTGAGTAGATTTTCACATTCTCTTTTCCATATTTATGAATGGCTTCATCTATAATGCACATTTAAAAAAGCATCAATCAAATACTGAACTATTCCACAGAGCTATGAGAAGGTACTGACCAGAAATACACCTGAATCAAGCAAGAAGGAAACAGCCACCTGTACCGAAATAAGGGCAGTCTGAAAAATAAACGTCCATGTTGTATCACAACAGAATGGCTAAGGAATGTGTCTCTGATTAAAACTGCTGGCAATGAATTGTGCTGGACTGAATTCTGGACTGTGGGTGGGTGGGTGGGGCGTTGTGAACCAAATGATATTTGAGATAGATGGCTAAATTTGCGTAAAGTCTAAAATTTAAGTAATACTTTATTATTTGAAGTTTTGCCATCTTAAAACTATGTTCATGTAAGTGAAGACCCTTGTTCTTAAAAAATGAGATGTAGGGTGTGTATGCAGCAGTGGTTCTCACCCTTCCTAATGCTGTGGCCTCATGTTGTGGTGACCCCAACTATAAAATTATTTTCATTGTTACTTCGTAACTGTAATTTTGCTAGTGCTATGAATTATAATATAAATACTTTCTATTTGCAGTGGCCTTAGGTGACTCCTGTGAAAGGGTCCTTCAACCCTCAAGGGAATGGAGACCCACAGGCTAAGAACCATTGGTATATAGGGTGCAAAAATGATACACAAAAATATAAGGAAACAGAGGAATCTTTCTGTTCTTTTGGCTGCTTTTAACATATAAAAATCAAGTGTGTGTGTGTGTATGTGTACGTGTGTATGAGAGAAAGAGAGGATGGAAACAGAGACATACGGGCAGCAGGAGCCACACTCTTGAAGTACTACTCATTGCTTGAGAACTATGACTCCAGACTAAACAAAAGGGTTAGCACAACTTGGGACACAGTAATTTTGGCAGTTAAAAGATTAGAGAAGGAACCACAAATGATCTTCATTTTAAATACCTACCTTCAGTAAGCCCCACTGTCCCAATAGGGGGGTGGCTGAAGACCACAGTAGGGATGTTGTCATAGTCTAATTTGGAATCTTCTTTGCATTCAAAAAGCCTATGGGCCAGTTTCCGGCCAGCAGCTATTGCAACTACAATGATATAAAAATCAGTGTTTTATTTAATTTAGCACAGCAACACTGTTCTAAGAGACAGAGCGATACGCCAGTGTTCATTATCATCTCTACCTCCACACAATGAAGACACTGCCATCGTGAACAACCCCAAACCACTGGCTTAGTCACTCTGTATGTCGTGTTAGGAAGAAAAGCAACACGTGCCTAAGTTCCCAGTCACCTGGAAGTTAATCTGCCAAATGAGAACATTCCTGGTAGGGTATTTAGAGAGCGAGCCATAGTTTGGCACATTTGAATTTCCACTTCAGTAAGATTCTTTTAAAATAAGAAGCTTGCATCCCGTCAGCCTGTTTTTATTCCTGTGTCTTCCCCTCAAACGGGTCAAGTCCAGAAAAAACACGTTATTAACTGATTGACATAAATTAGCAGTTTATTCCCTAAGGCAAGCTAAGCAGACCTGCATCAGATGAAGCAAGGTTGTTTTTCAAACTCTTGTCAAAGGACATAAAATTTCAGTTAGGAGGGCTGCAGTCAAGACATCTACTGTGCAACACAGTAACCATTGTAAATATAAGCATATAACTAACATATTGTTTACTTAAAAACTGTTGAGAGTAGCTGGCCTGTGGTGGTAGACCAGGCTGGCCTCGAACTCACGGAGATCCCTGCCTATCTTTACCTCCTAAATGCTGGGACTAAAGGTGTGTGCCATCACCACTCAGCCCAAATACAGTCTTCTAAGGAATAATGAATTTTACTCAGAAAACATCAGGTACCTAGCCTACTTTTGATGACAAAGACTGGAATGCTTTTAATTTTGCTGAAGTAAATTTGACTGTGAAAAGCTTGGTGGCTTTAGACAACACATAGACCTCTTTTCCCAAGAAAGGAAGCAGCATTACCTGGGGTGAGAAGTGCTCTCCCACAGACATCTCCCACAGCATAGATGCCTTTGACACTGGTATTCTGGAATTCGTCTACGATGATATGGCCCTTTTCATCCGTCTGAATCCCCTAAAAAAATCCACAAGGGGACATCTGGTAAATACTGGGGCCATCTATCATGTATCAAACCTTGAGATAGCTTCACTTCACCTCCAAAAGCCATGACTGAACAGCAACTGCTAGTCATGTCAAGATGGCAAGCTCCTAAGCTTCCTTAGTTTCTTTATATCTTTATGAACTGTTTTGTCAACTACTGAGGAGCTTTAATGGGGATAGACTGATCCCTAAGCATGAAAAGGAATAAGAGAGAGAGGGAGGGAGGAAAGAGGAAGAAAGGGAAGAAAGGAGGGAGGGAGGGAGGGAAGAAGGAAGGAAAGAAAGGAAAGAATGGAATGGAATGACTAGGCTATTAGATATACTATCCTACTTGATAACCCATGGGGTTCCTCTGAAATGCCTGTCAACTGTTTCCTGAAGTACTTAAAGAATAGCTAATGTACCTTACTGGCTAGTGTTTTGTCAAAGGGGCCTTTGGGAAGAGAGACCCTCAATTGAGAAAATGTTCCCACCAGACTGGCCTGTGGGCATTTTCTTGACTAATGATTGATGTGTGGATGGGCCAGCTCACAGGGGGTGGGGCCATCCTAGGCAAGTGATCCTGGATAATATAATAAGGAGGCTGAGCAAGCCTTGAGGAGCCAGCCAACACACAGCATTCCTTCAAGGCTTCTACACAGATTCCTTCCCTGACCACTCTGGATGATGACTACAGAGTCTAAACTGAAATAAACCAATTCCTCCCCAAGTTGCTTTTGGTCATGGTGTTCTATCACTGCAATAGAAACCCAACTACAACAGTCATCTATCTATAGGGTCTCAGCCTGAAACAGTTACCAAAAGCATTTTTTCCAAGTTACCAACTTTTTTTTTTTTTCTTTAATCGAAGTGAGGTTTGCATGCTACTCCAAAATATGCTATTTTGAATAATCAAATACACTTCCTTTACACTGAGGCATCTTTCCCCTAAGATGTGTTGTTTATTTTGCAGCTTTGCAGATCCAAGAGAAACAATGCTCCAACATGAAATGGAGAGGTAAGAGTACAGTGACTTCTGCAGAGAAGCACAGTGCTGAAGTCTTTGAGTTCAAGGCTAGGCTGATCTACTAAGCCAGTTCTGGGCCAGCCATGGCTACACAGTGAGACTCAGCCTCAGAAATAAGTAAATAAATTAATTTATTTCTTCATATGTATAAATACATACATTAATACATGCATGCATATGAATGCAATCTTGGAGACTGGGATGTGTGGCTCCATGGCAGAACACAATACCCTTAGCATGTATCAGGACTTGGCCCTGACCCCTAGCATCACTGAGAAAGAGACAGGTCCTATGGAGCCAGATAGACTGGCTTGAATCCCAGCTCTGTCATTCTCTGGTTATGGAATTTCACTTATGTAACTATTTAGCTACAGATATTGGAGCTTCTACTGCAAATGAGTTTAACTTGGCCACTAAAACACAGTGGTGAGTTAGCAGCCTGATGAATTACCCATTAATCCTGTTTCTTGGTTTCCTCGCCCTTTGGCTACTGACAGGATTTATCAGGTGAGTAAGGTACTGGCTGACACAGTCTGGCACACAGCAGTCATCCAATCTGCTTTAAAACAGACCTATCTTAACTTTTAATAAGGTGAGAACAAACCTTTTTCCAGCCTCATTGTTTAAAAAATTCAGGAAATAATGAGCTGGGGAAATAGGTTAGCTGGTAGAGTACCTGTGAATTAATGAACTGGGGACATAGGTAGAGTCAGGAGGATAAGAAATTCAAAGTTGGTATTAGGAAGATGCTCTGTGGGTGAGGAGCTTGCTGGGCAAGCAAGATGACCTGAGCTCAATCCCCAACACCTGTGGGACAGCCAGGTAGAGTGGTAAGCACAGAGCTGGGGAGGCAGAGATAAGATGATCCCCAGGGCTGCTAACCAGCCAGTCTAGCCCAACTGGCAAGCTATATGTTCAGTGAGACACTCTCCAAAAAAGAAGAAGAAGAAGAAGAAGAAGAAGAAGAAGAAGAAGAAGAAGAAGAAGAAGAAGAAGAAAAAAAAGAGGTAGGGAGCAACCGAGGAAGCTGCCAATGTCAGTCTCAGTCTCTGGCCACTACATGCAAAGTACATATGCATACATATACATATCAGCATGTACACACAGATTCAACCAATTTGAAAATGCTACAATGAAACCCATTACTTAAGTTTGTCAAAAAAAAAATTTTTTTTTCAAATTCAGCAAAATAAAATTGAGTAGGAGGGGGAGACAGAGATTCATCACATAGGGTTAAAAGGATGTCTCAGTAGGTAAAAGTGCTTGCTGACAAGCCTGAGGGCATGAGTTCAATCCCTAGGACCCACATGGTGGAAGGGAAGAATGGAGCTCTGTAAGTTGTTCTCTGGCCTCCCTCCACACAGGCACATAGCATAGACATAACCTCTCACAAATAAATAAACGCAATAAAAAAAATTCAGCAAACAGTTGTACACTGCACCTACAAACATTCCATCTATACAAACTCAAGTTACTATTATAGATGAAAGGCTTAGGGACTAGGAATAGTGAGTTTTAATTAAATTTCACTGAAGATTGAAAACAAGGCAACCTCCCTCCCTAGATATTTTATTCATTAAAATCTTGAAGGCTCCATGCATGGTGGTTCATGACTAGAATCCCAGCAGCTAGGAAGTGGAGGCAGGAGGATCAGAAGTTCAAGGTCATTTTCAGGTTCCTACTGAAAATGAGACTGGCCTGGACTACAAAAGATCCCGTCTCAAAAGACAACCAAATACAGGGATGGGTGGTGCAGATCGATAACCCCAGCTATTTGGAAGGCTTAAGAAGGAAAACTACAAGGCCAGCCTGGGCTACAGACTGAGTTCAGGACTAGTCTAGGTAACTTAGTGAGACCATGTCTTTAAAAAAGGAAGGAAAGGAGGGCTAGGGCTACAGTCAGCAGTAGAGCACTTGCCTAGCATGTGTAGGAGACCCTAACTTAGCACGTGAGGGAGACCTTAAAGTAGCATGTGTGGGAGGTGGAAGACCCTAGATTAGCATGCGTGGGAGACTCAAGATTAGCATGTGTAGGAAACCCTAACTTAGCATGGGTGGGAGACCCTAAATTAGCATGTATGGGAGACCATAAATAGCATGTGTGGGAGACCCGAAATTCAATTCTTACCATTGCCAAGTAGAAAGGAAAGAAGGAAAAGGATGGAGAAAAAGATAGAGGGGACAAAAGTGGGAGGTAAAGTATAGTAGTGCATAATCCTAACATTTAGGAGTCTGCAAAAGGACTTCTGCTAGACACTCTGGATCAGACCCCTTCAACCTAACAAGACACCTAACCTGGGGAGAGGACACTAGAAAGGAGAGATATTCCAAAGCAACAGGACTTCATGACAAAGTACACGGAAGACTACCCGGGGAGGACGGAGTCAGCTTACCAGTTTATTTAGATTCAGGCCCCTAGAATTTGGGTCCCGGCCAATGGCCCAGAGCAGGCAGTCAACATCTGGAATCACGGTTGTAGTGGGTGTCCTACCAGGAACCGAAGTAACCAAGAGAAGTTCCAAACCGGATGTTGTCTTTTTTACTTCCTTTACCTATTAAACAAAGAAAAAGTGTTACGTGAGTATGGGAGGAAAGGGGCGAAGGTAGTATGAAAGCAAAGATTTTCTCCCAGTGCCGGGGACTGAAGCCAGGGCTCCTCTCACACCAGGCAAGCATTCAACCACTGAGCTACATTCTGCCCTCTTTTTACTTATTTTGGGATGGGATCTCACTAAATTGCCCAGTCTGGCCTTAAACTTACTCTGTCATTCAGAGAGGCTTTGAACTTATCATCCTCTAGCTTCAGCTTCCTAAGTAGCTGGGAGTTTAGATTTAAGCCACTAGGTTTAGTAAAACCAGAATTTTTATGGATTTTTTTGGATTTTTTTTTTTTGGGAGAGAGGATCTCAATCTGTAACTCAGACTGACCTCAAATTCATATAAAATTTTCTGCATCAGATGCATAAGTGTAGGAATTACAAGATTTGACAATTATGTCTACTAAAATGTTTAATGACATTTACTCAGAGTTCAAACAGGTGTTTCATTTTAGCCAAAGGCCATGGATACTAACCTCCCCAGAGCCAGGCCTGTTTCCTTGATTCTTTGAATATTCCAATGACCAGGAATGCTGGCCATAAGTGGTGGTTTGTATGAGAACGACCCCCATAGGCTCATGCTTGGTCCTGACCTGAACCCCCAGGAATAAGGGTCCCAGAGGGTGAGATGTCGAGGCAGAGGATGGGATGAGAAATAAGACAGAGTTCCAGGACAGCCGAGGCTAGCCCAGCAGGGACCAGGAGGTCTATAGGAGCTGGTGACTCATGACAGCAGGCCTACTAAGAATCACCACATCTTATACACTATTTGCAGGGGAGAAATGGGACAGCATTAGCAGAATCTATCATACAACAGGACAAAATTGGTAGAAGGCTAATCAAGAAATGCTATATAAAAAGAACATGGAACATCTCAAGTGTCACAGACCTGGCACACAGTGGCCTTGGGACTGATACCATAGCCCTTTAAGTGTAAAGAGCTGGGTTCCCAGAAACTGAAGCCACAGCTCCCGAAAGGCTCTGGCTTTAGACCACTACTGGCCTTGGCAAGCATAGTCTTGGTTTTAGACAAGGAATTGCATTCCTTTTCCATACACCAGGGCCTCAGAACAGTCTTGGATTTGCCTGGCTTCTGAAGTGGACCCTAGTTGGAAGGGGTGTGTCACTAGAAATGGGTTTTGAGTTTTCAAAAGCTCAAACCAGGTCAGTCTGTCTGTGTCTCTCTCTGTCTGCTGCTTGTGGATAAGATGTAAGCTCTTATTTTTTTTTTTTAAGATGTAAGCTCTTAACTACTTCCAGCACCATGCTGCTACGATCCCCATTATGGTGCTCATGGACATACCCTCTGAAACTGTAAGCAAGCCCCAGTCAGTGTTCTCTTTGATGAGTTGGTCATGGTGTCTCTTCACAGTGACAGAACAGTAACTAAGACACCGTAGAAATCCTAAGGCTTAAAAAACAAATATATTTCCAGGGCTGGAGAGATGGCTCAGAGAGTTGAGTCTGGCTCCAAGCACCACACCGGGCAACTCATAACTGCCTGCAAATTCAACACTTCCGGCCTCCTCTCCAAAGATACCTGCGCTCATGTGTATGTGTGTGTGCACATGTGTACTAAGCCCACGGAGGCAAGAAGAGGGTATCATGTCCCCTGGAACTGGAGTTACAGACCACTGTGAGCTGCCATCTGCGTATAACCCAAGCACATCCTGGATACTTTACATCAACTTCAGGTTGTTTATAATGACAAACACAAAGAAAATCTCATGTCATAGTTGTTTGTTAGATTATATTGTTTAGAGAATAATGAACAGAAAAGGCCTGTACACGTTCACTAGACACACCTTTCAAGTATTTACAATCCAGTTGGTGACGATATGCAGTTGTAGAAAGCACCCATATGAGTACCCAGATCATCATTTAATGAAGGTTTCCAAGGTGATGCATGTATTAGTCTACTCCATATGGGCTATGCTGAAAGGACAGCACAGACTGGAGAGGGCCACACTCATGTTTACCAGGCTGAATCTCTAGAAAAATTCTACTGAAATTAAGTAATTTCCTGAGGAATAAAGTACTCTGTAATGCCTTTTTTTAATTAATAAAATAGGTTAATTAAACAATATGCTTGAAAAATTGTTTTCCTGCTATAAAAATAAGGATGTGAAGAGGTACATGACAGGGCTGGAAAGATGGCTCAGTGGTTCAGAGCACTGGCTGCCTGATCTTCCAGAGGACCCAGGTTCAATCCCAGCATCCATCAGGCTGCTGGCCACTGTCTATAACTCAGCACCTCGGAACCAGGCACTTTACTCTTCTGGTCCTTTGGATACCACGCAAGCACAGCGCAGAGACACACCTGAAAGCAAAACATCCACATACACTAAGGAAAGAGAGGAACTAATAGGCACATGGAATCAGGTAGAAGCAGGCTACACTGTGGGCACACAGCTTAGTGGTGGAGCCCTTCCACACACAGGAGCTTGTGTTCTACCTTGGCCCCGGAAGTGTGATTTACCAGCCCTGGTCGCCTACCTGTGAGAACTTCAGCACCTCCACGCCAGCATTCTCCAGCTCCTCGGTACAGTTGGAACTGATGAGTGAATCAAAGTTTCTAAGAACCTGCATTTAAACATGGCGGCAGAGACACCGATGTCGGGGAAAAAATGAAACTTGATTAAAGTCATAGCAGTCCTCTACTGTCCTTCCTTTTACCATCACCTTCATTCATGCTCACACGAGGGGAGAGTTTAGTAGAGCCTCTATTTGCTTACTTCACCACCAGGTTCTATACTGTATCTGGTGTCATCCACATCTATTTTAGAGTTCTGAAAAATGAACAAACTTCAGAACTCTACTATCTTCATGTTCCTCTCCTATTATTGTCTGTCTGTGTGTCTGTGTGTCTATCTGTCTGTCTGTCTGTCTGTCTCTCTCTCTCTCTCTCTCTCTCTCTCTCTCTCTCTCTGCAGAATCTAGGGAAATTCTTGTGCAGTTGGCTGGCTTTCCCTTTGCTCTATGAGAAGGCTCTCTACATCATCTTGTAGTGGGGTTGGCTTCCCTCCAGTCTCCGGGAAGGCTGTCTCAATTATCCTGTGAGAAACTCAGCTAGAAACATCATTTTAAACATCACTAGTAGAAGTGATGGTGGCACACAAATTTGGCAACAGTGCAAAGTTTCTGAACACACAATGACAGAAACTTGATTCAGAGTCAAATGCATCCTGAGTCTTAGGGGTTTCCAGCAGAGCTCACCATGCCACATACTGCAACTTCACCGTGCCGTGGATCTGAACATATCACACCACACACGTGCATGCCACACTGCCCATGCCACGTGGTGCCAATGACCGTCAAAGGCTTAGGGTCAGATTTAAAACTAATTTATGTTCTGACCTGCAGCGTTTTTACCACACATACAAAGGTTATGGCTCTTACAGAAACATAAGGTTCCATTACATATTTTTACCATCACTCAAACTGGGTTGTATTGTATTAGAACGCTTGATTTTTAAAAATGTTTGGCTACAAGAGCTGGCCACACTGCCTGTACAGTTTGAAAGTGTGTCACATAGGCTCAGATATTTGAGTACTTGGTGTCCAACTGGTGGCGATGTTTGGGGGTGTAGGCTTTCTGGAGGACCTGCTTTTGAGTATGCACAGCCTCATGACTTCCAGGTACTCCTTCTGCTTTGTTTGTGTCTGAATTCTCAGCTTCCTATTTTGGCCACCATGACTGCCATTTGCAGCCACAGGCAGAATGGCATATGCCCATCCACATTCCCATATACATATCAGATATACATAATAATACATTAAATTTAAACTTCAATTTAAAAATTAGGTGGTAACTAGTTGAAAACATGAGAAAAATTAATTAGGAAAAAAGAAGGTGGGGGGAGAGGAGATGGGGCTTACCTTATCATGCCTTATCATAAGAGATGTCTTGGAGCCCAGGGCAGAGAGGATGCCAGCTATCTCCACGGCAATGTAACCCGCACCCACAATGACGCTGCGGCTGAGACAAAAGCAAAGGGGGACTGTTTCGTAAACTGACTTTGGATGCTTCAGATGCACAGACATTTCGACTGGGCTCGTTGCTCAGTTTTCCCAATCAGTTAATATTTTATGAGTAACATGATGTCACACACCCATAATCCCATGCATTAGGAGGCACAGGCAGCCTGGTATGAGTTCCAGGCCATCCAGAGCTACACAGGGAGTCATTATTCTCAAACAGAACAAACAAAATGTCCCCCCATAAAAGAAAGTTATCTTGCTGGGCAGTGGTGGTGTACACCTTTCATCCCAACACTAGGGGAGGCAGAGGCAGGTGGGTCTCTGCGTTCGAGACCAGCCTGGTCTACAGAGTGAGTTCCAGATCAGCCACGGCTACATAGAGATTTTTATTTGACATATAAGTTCCTTATGTCCTAGCTTTATTTACTTCTTATTTGCTTTCTTATTTATCTGAGACAGCCTCTATCTCACTTGGCTATCGTGTAGCACACTCTCCCTGAACCCCTTCCGATTTCCATACATAAATCTAACAGCACTATTATTTCCTGGGCCGGGTATTTCTCCTCACTCATTATTCACTTCTATTAATCCTTGTAGCACGATCAAAGGCCAATTTAAGAAAGCCATTTTAAGTCAGACGTGGTGGCTCATGCCTGTAATCCCAGCATTTGGGTGGCCTGGGCGGCAGCTGAACTCAACTTCCTGAATCCATTTTGGTTTAACAAAAGAGCTTAAGCCCCAGTAAATGCTTGAATGACTAGATCAGTGTCTGAGAAACTGTGTTGCTTAAGGCTTACTTCCAGGCTGAGGCATAGAGAGAACAGCCCCAGCCAGTGAATTCTGCTTCAGGTTGTCAAAGGTTCCCAACATGGTGCTCTCACTGTTGCAAAGAACAAAGGAACCATGTCCCAGTATTTCCACAGACATGCCAGCCCACTGAGGCTTGCTGGCATGGCTGCACATGAGGTAGGACCCTCTGACCCTAAAATGCTGAGCATGGTCAGAAGCGTCTATGCTCTTCAAAACCTACAAGATGGTTCTTCCCTCAATCCTATGCTGACCCCTTCCTTTCCACAAGTCTCCCTGACCCCCATGTTGGCTTTTCTCCTTTCCTCTCTCCTCCTCTTCTTTTCTGGACACTGAAGCCCTTCCTGCATTGTACTAGGCACTGCACTAGACAGGATGGGTAATGGTGTCTGCCCTCAAAGCATCTTTTCTGTGGATGCTGATGGGGTGTGAACCCAAGGCCCTTTCCACACTACATGGCTATCACTGAGCTGTATCTCCAGCCTTAATTTAAAAAAAAAAAAAAAGCTGGGATTATAAATCCAAGCCCTAGAGTCTGGCCCATGAAGAACTTCTAAAGACAGAAATACATCCTGAAGTTGATGGGAGAGGGGCCAGTGCTCGATGGGTAGAGAGCTTATAAACAGCTGTGGATTCCTGAAAGGTGGGTATCTTTTGAGGGGAGGAGCCAATCAAATGCAAAGGACAGGCCACCTTCATATGGCTTCAGAGAGCTGCAAGGAGCCCGACGCTTCCCTTGGCTCGCACTGGCACCTGTGTGCGTGCCCACGCCCTGTCACCGTGATATTCACTGAAAAAGACTGTCCGTACTTTCACATCCCCAAAGCAACCTTTTTTTTTTTAACCATTGCCACAGCCTTCCAGAGGGGTCAAGCTGCCCACCCCATCCAGACATAAGCCCTCTGAGGGCCAAAACAGGATCATGTGGTGCACTGGTAGCCACACCTACAAGATTCTCATGACTGTAATTTATAATTTTAAAAAAATCATGTAAGAGAAAAAGGAATGAAAAAAAGAAATCACCTAAGAAATAGCTTTGGAGGGAAAGACCATCTATGTAGCCCAGGCTGGCCTTGAACTCATTACATAGCAAAGCTATCCTCCTGCCTCCACCTCCCAGTGCCCCAGGAATGTCACACAGGATGCTCTTTTTTGAGACAAGGGTTGCTCCAGGTTACCTAGCCTAGCCTGCAACACCCAGGTTTCTGCCATTCTCCACTCTAGCTTCCCAAGCAACTGTGAGTCAAGCAACGGCACCACGCCCAGCTCCACTGACAGCGCATTTCCTTTTGTTCCCAGAGTCTTCCCTTTATAGCATAAATAACTCATTCACTAAACTTTCATACCAATAACAGTTTATTAAGTAGTTCTAAAATCCGTGTTAGGCAAGCATCTGTAATAAACCTTGCTGGGGGTGTGTGTCTGCACTGACTTCCATTATCGACCAAACACATGCCGGGTACATGCTCACTCACATCCTATCTGTGAAGTCTGAACACACTTCAGGGTGGCTCATGCTGAGGCAGGGGAGTCAACCGAGACCCTGAGTTCAAGATGGCACCGGCAACATAGAAGGAAAAGGGACGAAGGGAGGCAGGGCAGAAAAGGAAGAGACATGAATACTATGTCACGCCTGCTTACCTAGGCAGCTCCTCCAGCTGAAAAAACCCATCACTGGTTATTCCCAAGCTGGCACCTATATAGAAAAATACCACATAGAAGTAAGATGAACACGCTATTTAACATCTTTTTTTTTTTTTTTTTAAAGCAAGAGCTGAGAAAGGGTTATACACTGTAGTCTGTGCTGACCTGGGACTTACTTATATAGCCCAGGCTGGCCTCAAACTCATGGTAATCTTCCTGCCTCAGCCTGATAGGAGATGCCATTATGTATATATGTTTCTCATATTGGTTTAATGAATAAAGCACTGTTGGCCAATAGTAAAGCAAGATAGGCGGGACTAGGAGATAAGGAGGAAAGAGGAAGTAGTAAGTAAGGGGGTCAAGATGGGGAGACTGGGGAGACGAGACGCTAGCCCCTTTCCCCGGTAAGAAGACCACGTGGAAATACATAAAAATGGGTTAATATTTAAGACAGAGCTAGCCGATAAGAAACTAGTACCTGGCCAACATAGTTATATCTAATACAGAGTCTCTGTGCATTATTTGGGGCTGGCGCAGTGGCAGGACAAGACCAGGCGGCGGGCAGAAAAACCATACTTGTTACATCAGCCTCTTGGGCTTTGGGAATTTGGGGTATAAGTTGCTGGGCCTGGCCCAAACAGAAGCTATTCAAGAACCAAACACTCCTTCAGCCAAGGCTCTGTTACCACAGCTTTGTTAGACCTCTCCTGAGAGCATGTCTTCCTGGAGACTACATCTTACATTTATCTCAAGAAATAAGAACAGCGATGGATAAGTAAATTTAGATTTCCCTGAAGGACAAAGATCCTGCCAGGTGTCATGAACAGACTGCTAGTTCTGCTTTGCCTTCAACCCCAAGTAAAGGCAGGAGACCAAGGAGGGAGGTCTTGGCACCCTCCACTTCCTTTACTGTTTTTTTATTTTCTTATTGAGACAGGCCCTCTCACAAAGCCCTGGCTATCCTGGAACTTACTATGTAGACCAAACTGACCTCAAACACACAAAAGATCTGCCTGCAGCTGTCTCTACCTCCTCAGGTGCTGGGAATAAAGGTGTTTGTTACCACATCTGGCTTCCATCTTTTTTTTTTTTTTTTTTTTCTTCAAGACTACACATATGGTAGTGGTGTTGAATTCTTCTTCAAATTTCCAGTTCCATATTTATATCTGTCTTGCTTCATAATCTTCTCTCTGAAAGTTCCCCTTATCTGAAACACTTGAGGCCAGAATTTCAAATTTCAGAAATTTTTTCAGAATTGGGAATATGTCTATAGGGCATTTCCTTGATTTATGTGGGCTGGTGGTCCTGGGTTGTGTAAGAAAGCAGGCTGAAGCTGGGTGCTGGTGGTGATGGTGGCACACGCCTTTAATCTCAGCACTTGGGAGGCAGAGCCAGACGGAAGCAGGCTGAACAAGCCATGGGAATAAGCCAGGAAGCAGCATCCTCTGTGGCCTCTGCATCAGTTCCTGCCCCCAGTTCCTCCTACTCTGACTTCCTTTCACGATGAACTGTAATCTGTGAGGTGAAATAAACCTTTCTTTTGCTTTTGATCATGGTGTTTTATCGAAGCAATAGAAACACTAACCAAGTCATATGTTTTAGGAATGCAGCTCAAAATTAAAATGTACATAATAAGCTGGGTGTGATGGCACAATCTTGTAATCCCAGCACAAGGAGATGGAAGCTGGAGGATTAGTAATTCAAAGTAGAGAGTGGACAGGAGTTCAGTCTGGGTTTCAAGGCCTATTTGTGCAAGTATCTTGCGCTAACCGATTGCATCACTGGAGCCCATCAAGGCCTATCTGTGTATGTGTATGAGGGGGGAGTAACACAAATTATTTTAACAAAATTTAAAAAACTTCTTATACATGAAGATTCCTAGGCAGAACTTCCTGCTTATGGTATGTTAAAAAAAAAAAACAAACAAACAAACTTTGGATTTTGGAGCATTTCACACTTTCAAGTTTTAAGAATATGGATCTTCCACCTGTCCATTTAGAATTAAGTGTTAATTTTCCAAACTATATGCTTCTCTTTCCATTTTAGAGAAAGAAAGTAAGTGCCCTTCTTAGACAGAACCTTGAACTATCAGCCTGTGATTCCTTCTCTGACACCCATCTCCTAATCCGTACCTCCTCAGTTAATAGATACGCCCATCTTACCAAATCTAAGTGCCATAAGCATAACCTGGCTAGTCTTCATGGTGAAGAGTGTGTTCTGAAATGTATCTTTAAATCAGAGACGTACAGGACCCAACCATTCGTGGACTGTCTCCAGCCTGTTCCCTTTAGTTCAAGGAGGGGGAAAGTAGCAAGTGTCTACAGAATGGGATGACAGCCAAGCATCTCATTTCTGGTGAGAGCCCCAATTTATCTTCCAGTCAATCTCAAAAGTCTCACCTCATCCAGTCCTTGTCGGATTAGTTTCCAGACATCACGCAGATCTTGTCACTGTTTATTTATAAGCCAACAGTGATTTGCCAAAGTGACTTGAGATTCCAGTGTAACCTAATTCTAGTCTCAACTCAAAGCATTTGCTTCAATACCGTGCTGTCAAACTGACTGGACTGGTTGAAAATCCTTCAGAGATGTCTTTATTACTCACAGATTCTTCCCACTCCTGTCTCAGCCTACAATTCTGACTTGAGAGTCCCTTTCTTAGGAGTCGTCCTGAATCATGCCTGACCATATGGCCTCCCTTCTGTCCAAACACAATCCAAGATGGAGTCCTGTGAGAATTCTGGGGGCTTGTGAGAAAACTCCAGGAAAACAAGAGTCTTGTGACCTCAGTTTCTCCAAGACACAGGCTTGTTCTTGGAATGTGTTTTCTAGCTCCTCGCAGGTGTGGTGAGTTTACTTCAGCTGCTATTATTCATATGGCTCTACAGAAAAAACATGTTTTTGCCACGTGCAGCTTGTCCTTGTGATTGAACACTTTACTCGTGGTTCTTAGCCCTCAGAGTATAAACTGTCTGCTGCTCTGAATAAAGCTGGTTACTGCAGGAGACTTTAGTTCCCTTATTTTCAGGCCCCTCTCTCCCAAGTTCAAGCTGCCAATTAAAGCTGTAAACACCCACCTAAGAGAATCTCTGCCTTCACCATCTGGCATCTTAGAGAGCTTAGAGGCTGCACTTGTTTTTATTACCTTAATTAATGAAATAATAGATCATTTAAAAGGTTAGGCTGGTCAGGTGTTGGTAGCACATACCTTTAGTCCCAGCACTCAGGAGGCAGAGGCAGATGGATCTCTGTGAGTTCGAGGCCAGCCTGGTCTACAGAGTGAGTTCCAGGACAGGCTTCAAGGCTACACAGAGAAACCCTGTCTCAAAAAACAAAAGATTGTAAAAGGTGAGGCTGGGACAGACAGTGGTGGTACACACCTTTAATCCCAGCACTTGGGAGGCAGAGGCGGATCTCTGTGAGTTCCAGGCCAGCCTGGCCTACAGAGTGAGTGAGTGCCGAGAGGCTCTAAAGCTTCAAAAACCAAAACAAAACAAAGAAAAAACCCAAAGATAGCTGAGTATATCTATGTGCACCATTTTTGTGCAGTGCCTGTGGAGATCAGAAGAGGCTACTGCGTCCACTTTGGAGCTGGAGTTACTGAAGACTGTGAACTACCAAGTGGGTGCTGGAAACCGAACTTGGGTACTCTGGAAGAGCACCTGATGCTCTAAATGACAGAGCCTGCTCTCCAGGCCATGTTTTGTTATTTGCAATGCTAGAAACTGAATCAAAGTCTCATGCCTGCTAAGCAAGTGCTCTAGCACAGAGCTAGACAACCACAGGAATCTCGATCATCTTCGCCGTGCCATCCTAATGCACATCTTACTCCACTGACTTCACTTTCCAGAAGGAAGGTGTGGCTTACTTAAGAGCCAGCAGAGGACAGGGCTACAGCAACAGTACTGGAACTGTCAGCTCCTGGCCTGCATTTTCTGAGAGTATTGTATAGTTTCTTTTTCGTTTTTTGGTTTTTCAAGACAGGGTTTCTGTGTAACTTTGGAGGCTGTCCTGGAACTTGCTCTGTAGACCAGGCTGACCTCAAACTCACAGAGATCCACCTGCCTCTACCTCCCGAATGCTGGGATTAAAGGCATGCACCACCACTGCCCAGCTTTGTTCAGTTTCTTTCAGACAGCAGGATTCACTCTATGGCTCAGACTGGCCTCAAACCTAAGGAAATGCCTACATGTGTGGAGAAAGAACTGGGCAGTAGCAGGCACACATTAACTGCTGTTTCAAGACTGGGATGTGCTGAGACCATGTTCTCACGTCCCTGCTGTTACGACTTCCCTGCATGATGGACTGCAATCTCAATGGTGGGACACATGAAACCCTTTCTCCTCGCTTTAGTCAGGAGTATTTTATTATAGCAACAGGAAATTAAGAAACTCACCATCCAAGACTTACGGTATTATGTAGGAGAAAGAATGACTAATGTGTCTGATGAATGAATATGGCCATCTGTTCATGATTCATCCCTAGTTCTTAGCCAAACACATAGACACTCAGGCAGGTAGGACCACCTCCAAGGTTCATGGCTAGTTTAATCTTTTACAAATTGCTATATAAGAAACAAAAACTTGACAGGGAGAGAACTATTCTGATGGGAGATGCCATTATGTATATATGTTTCTCATACTGGTTAATAATAAAGTACTGTTGGCCAATAGGAAAGGAAGATAGGAGGGACTAGGAGACAAGGAGGAAATAGGAAGTAGTAAGGAGGAGTCAAGATGGAGAGTCTGGAGAGAGCTGGACGCCAGCCGCCTCCCGGTAAGAGAAGGCCATGTGAAGATACATAGAAATGGGTTAATAATTAAAGGCAGAGCTAGCCGATAAGTAACAAGTAACCGGGCCAACAGTATTGTATCAAGTACAGAGTCTCTGTGTGTTATTTGGGGCTGGCGGCGCAGCGGCAGGACAAAACCAAGCGGCAGGCAGAAAAACCCGTACACGTTACAAATGGCGCCCACGTGGCTAGTAAGAACTTCCACTTAAAATTTAACAAAAGGTAAAAAGGGAATTATGGTATAGATATGCATAGTTTGTTTTGGAATGGATTTTCATTTATTGATACAATTTAAGGTCAATAAGGTGATATGTATATTTCTCCTTTTGTTTAGGCATTGTGTTTATATAGTTCATTCAGAAACATATTGTATAATTTAGTACAGATTTTACATAGTTACCTATAATAGTCAAAACTTATAGCTAAGTTAGTTAGGTTTTCTAGATATACAGAGATGTATTTGAGATAGATAGGCATTCTTCAAATCTTTCAAAGACCTACAGAATATGGCATTTAAAATGGTTTAGGGTTTTTCTTGACAATGAGACATAATTGTTCCTGGCAACACCACCTGCATCAGAAAGGAAGATGAAGATGGACATTTAAGAAACTCATTATGGAGTTTACTTCCAATACGGCAAGACTAGCCATTTGGACAAGATACTGCTCTTGTCTGGAATGTTTGACTTTGTGCTGTATAAACTGGACATGCAGGACTCACAGAAAAGTGACTGCTGATTCAAGATGGACATTGCTACAGAGTTCCTGCTTCATGGAAGAGTCTGCGAGACAGTATACAGGACACAGAGAAAAATGACTGTCAAACTGCCAATACAAAAAGACAGTTTAAAGTTTCCTACATTGCTGAAGAGTCAGCTAGACACACTATGGCCTATGGGCTAAAGATGGAAGATTACAAAAGAACTTCGGGTGACCAGGCAGTGAGTTGTCTCTGTCATTTCTAGAGTTTATATACTATCCTTCTGTGGTCTTTGAAGGAGTTAAAGACAGATAGTTATGGTTATCGTTTTCCTTAGTTAGGTTTACAGATAAGTTACAAATAGGACTTTGGACTCACAAATATAGGATAGATGATAGAATAGTTTCTTTTAATCTTGATAAATGTTAATGGACTAAATATTGTTAACTGTGATTCTTATTTGATAACTGTTGTGTTATATATTTTGCTATGTTAAGGTTAAAACCCTTCTTTTTATTTAAACAGAAAAGAGGAGATGATGGGAGATGCCATTATGTATATATGTTTCTCATACTGGTTAATAATAAAGCACTGTTGGCCAATAGGAAAGGAAGATAGGAGGGACTAGGAGACAAGGAGGAAATAGGAAGTAGTAAGGAGGAGTCAAGATGGAGAGTCTGGAGAGAGCTGGACGCCAGCCGCCTCCCCGGTAAGAGAAGGCCATGTGAAGATACATAGAAATGGGTTAATAATTAAAGGCAGAGCTAGCCGATAAGTAACAAGTAACCGGGCCAACAGTATTGTATCAAGTACAGAGTCTCTGTGTGTTATTTGGGGCTGGCGGCGCAGCGGCAGGACAAAACCAAGCGGCAGGCAGAAAAACCCGTACACGTTACACTATTCTTTATAAGGTTTTTCTCTTTCTTGAACAGTTACTGTATATTGAGTCTTAGAAATAATTTGCCTGACAACCCCAGGTTGGCAGCACTCTGTGCCACACCAGGAGTAAAAAACTGATGTTCTCCTTGATTTCTCTTCCTGGGTCCTGGGCTGGATGAAACAGCTTTCTCTGGCTCATTAATCACCACGGACCTTTCTCAATATAGAACCAGTATAGGCAGATCCCAAGACGTGGCTTGTAAACTCTCTGACCTCACTGGCCTCTGGAAGACTCACCTGGGATCTGGCTCTCCTGAGGAACTGTGGGCACACCACCTGTGGCAATCAGGATGTGAGGTGCAGTGTATTTTTTCCCGTTGACTTCCACCGTGGGCTGAGGATCATCTGCAAAGGCCGCATAGCCATGGATGATTTCTATGTGGGACTGCAGAAGGAACACTGGCATTAACATATTCTTAAGACTTAACAAGCAAATGGACAAAAAACACCTGGTTGGTAGCAGTGAGGCACTCTTACAATCCTGTGCTTGGGAGGAGGCGGCAGAAAGATCAGGGACTCAAGGTCATCCTTGCCTATACAGCAAGTTCACAGGCAATTTCAGCTATAGGAAACCCTGCTCGAAAAGCATCTATCTGCCTAATACATCAATTCCTTACTTTTTAACCAAAAAACAGCTTAGCCCAGCCTCTAACCCAATTATGTAGTCATAGATGACCTCAAAAATCCTGGTTCTTTCCAAGTGCTAGGATAACAAAGCTCAGCACCTGGCTCCTGCAGCCCGTTTTCCTTGAAGTGGCAATCCTCCTGCCTCAGCTTTTCACAGCTGGGCTTATAGGTGAGTGCCACTACACACTGCTCCACTTAAGATTTTGATTTTGGGTTTGTAAATAGTAAGATGGATTCTGTTGCCCACATTCTTAGACCTCCTGACTGGAAACTGATGTTCAGAAGAGCTCATTGTCCATCAGTGCTGGATGTGAATAACAAGGAGAAATAAGGATGCCCCCCCTGGGCCAAAAAACCCTTCCAGTCACTCCAAGGAAAAGACATCTTCGATTCCAAGGGTTGAAGGTAAAAGTGATGGGGGATGATGCTCTTGTTCACTGCAAAGGTTTGACACTTGCATTGGTTTAATAAAACGCTGACTGACCAGTAGCCAGGCAGGAATTATAGGTGGGGCTACCAGACTAGGAGAATTCTGGGAAGAGGAGAAGCAGAGATGGAGTCACAGCCAGATGCAGAGGAAGCAAGATGAGAGTGCCTTACTGAGAAAAGTCACCAGGCCAGGAGGCTAAAAGTAGGTAAGAATTATGGGTTAATTTAAGTTGTAAGAGTTTGTTAGCGATAAGCCTGAGCAACAGGCCGAACAGTTTATAATTAATATAAGCCTCTGTTTGTTTATTTGGAACTGAAACTTCCACCAACATGAAAGTCTTCCTTACTCACAATGAAAAGACACTAAAAGAGATAAAGGTGAAAGGAACAGATACTAGAAACACTGGCCAAGAGGAAAGAGGCCATCTTTTTGCTTCCTTTGGTGGAAAGAAAGTTAAAAACAAACTACACAGAGACACTCTACTGCAGAAATTCTGAGAACACCAATGCTTGACTTGCTCTGAGCAGAACTCTGTACAAGGGGTCAATCTGAGGCCTGCCAGCAAGCTTCAGCCAGCTGTGACCTATGTCCTGGCACACAAAGGTGGATGATTAAAAGCTAATGGAGCCGCGTGAGTACGTGAGTCACCATTCTGCAGCATGCCTGGTTCTGAACTCTTTCCTCCCTCCTTACCTCGCCTCCAGGCCTGTTCTTACAGGTACCTGGCGTCATTAACTGAATTTCAATGAATGCCAAACCCACAAGCACTCCTAACAGCCTTTCTTGGGGGACCGAGTTCTCCCTGGGAGAAAAGGGGCTGAGTGGTGACAGACAATAATTGAGAGAAAAGATTTGCACTGCCTGGGACATGGCATCAAAGTTTCTTTCACTGTGAAATTTTTAACAGCCCTAATCCTATCACCACAAGGTTGGAATGAGCTCTACCACACACTAAGCCTAAATTCTGTAGAAATGCTGAGTTCTCAATAACTTTTTGATCTTGTTATTTCAAAAGATTTATTTATTTTTATTTTGTGTTTTGCTGCATGTAAGCATGTGCACCACACATGCAAAGTGTCTGCAGAGGCCAGAAGACAGCATCAAATCTCCTGAAACTGGAATGACAGTTGTTAGTCACCATGTGGGTGTTGGGAATTGAACTTGGGTCCTGTGGAAAGGCAGCCAGTATTCTTAACCTCAAGCCATCTCATATGCCCATCGTTTCTCTTAAAATTTAGTTAAGCCCATTAAAGAAATTCCAATAGGAGATGGACAAGGTGCCTTTAATCCCAGCACTGAGAGATACGCAGATCTCTGTGAACACCAGGCCAGCCAAGGCTACATTCTAAGACCATCCAAAGGGGGAGGGGTGCTGGGCAGATGGTGTGGTGGTTAAGAGGGCTTGCTGCTCTTCCAGAAGACCCAGATTTAGATCTTAGCACTGATGTCAGGTTGCTCACAACTGCCTGTACCTGCAGCTCCAGGGGACCTTCTTTACACCCTACATACAAACACCTAAGTATAAATAAATCTTTAACTTAAAAAAGGTGTTGGAAGAGAGGGACACAGCACAAATATTTGTTGTGGGCAAAATACACCTGTATAGAATTTTCTTGGTAAGAATTTACTTACAATGGAACATTTCTGAGTCTGGTCTGTAAGAAGCTGCTCTGAACAAATAATCAACACTGGAATTTCAGTGTGTGCTCCTTGCTCTGGCCGCCACACTCTTCTGTAAATTCCTCTCTCCTGATTTTGGTTTCTGACTGAACTGGAGGGACAGACCTATTCCAGATGCACACATGAGGTGACACCTAGTCTATGGAGCTGCCATATACTGTCTGTCTTCTGTAGAAAGACTGACATACTAGAGCAAAGGCTTCTGATCAATAAAGTCAGCTTCAACATTATTAACAGGAAAAAAAAAAAAAAAAAAAAAAACAAAGAAATAATAAGACATGGCCAGGTGGGGGTGGTGGTGCATGCCTTTAATCCTAGCACTTGGGAGACAGAGGCAGGTGGATCTCTGTGAGTTCTAGGCCAGTCTGGTGTACAGAGCAAGTTCCAGGAAAGCCAGAACTATACATACAGAAAACCCTATTTTGAAAAACCGAAGAAGAAATAAGAAGACATATCCAAAGGCAACATGTTTTGTCTGGCTAGATCTGGTGCCTCCTCTACAACTCCTTTACTAAGTTAAAATGCCAGCATACACACCTTGGTTAAATTGTTCTGGTAGATGGTGTTCAGGCGGCTCACATACGCATCACGCTTCTCCTTGATGACACTGTAAAGAGACTGAGTCAGTACTCAGAAACAGTATTTTCTCAAGATGGAAGTTTCTGTCCTGCCTGGACCCACAGCTGTCTAGTCCCAAATAAACACACAGAGGCTTATATATTAATTATAAGCTGTTTGGCCGATGGCTCAGGCTTCTTATTGGCTAGGTCTCTCAATTATTAATCCATTTCTGTTAATCTGTGTATCTCCACATTGTCTTGGCTTACTGGTGATACCCAGGCCTCTGACTTCCTTGGCAGCTACATGGCATCTCTCCTCACGACTCACCCGTGTTCCTCCTCCCAGCCTTCTAATTTGCTCACCCCACCTACACTTCCTGCTTGGCTACATCCTGCCTGTTCATTGGCCAAAATAGCTTTATTCATCAACCCATAAGAGAAACATATAGGCCCAGCATACAGAAGGACATCCCTGTCCATTTTCTTTCTTCACCTACTAGTCAGAGGACCAGCTCCCATGACCACTGACTGCTCATGAGAACAAAGTGAGCAACTGTCTGAAGACAGGTGTCTGGTGCCACATGCTTCTCAGAGCTGGTCTTGCAGAGGACCTGAGTTCAATTCCCATGTGTCAGCCTACAACCACCTGTAACTCCAGGCCCAGGGGATCTGACACCCTTTTCTGGCCTCCATGGGTACTTGTACAGTATATATACATATACTAAGGCAAACATACATAAAATAAGTAACTTTAATTTGGGGCTGAAGAGATGGCTCAGAGGTTAAGGGCACACTGGCTGCTCTTCCACCTACATGGTGGTTCACAACCATCTATAATGAGATCTGGTGCTCTCTTCTGGCCTGCAGGCAGACATGCAGGTAGAATACAGTGTACATAATAAATAAAATCTTTTTAAAAGATCAGACATAAGGAGAACATAGAATTCTACTCAGTATCTAACACAGGTTAGGACCACTTAACAGAAAGCAGAACATGGTTCCCCACAGGCTGGTAGTAAAGTAGAGAACCAGCAGTTACTATTTAATGGCAATCATCAGAATTATGGGAAAGTTTTGAAATTTGTAAGTGGTATTGTTTAAACAACAGTGTGTATATGCTTAAGGTCAAACTGTGTATTTATAAATGTTAAAATAACCAATTTTATGCTATACATAAATACAGACACACATACACTAACACACATACGGCAGTAGGGACTAAGCCCCGGCCCTTACACAGTCTAGGCAAGAACTCTAAGACTAAGCTACACACCCATCCCTGTTCAGATTCGGACACAGTAAACCTCCACGCCTCAAAGTAAGACTGGGTTTTAGAAACTACCTCCTTGTAAATGGAACCATTTGGGCACAAACACTTACTGCCAATTGAATTTACTCTCACAACTCTGAAAGCCATAATCCGTGTGATCGTGCATGAATTCTGAGTGGACAGCTGTGTTCCACATTACCTATTTTTAAAAAAAGTGTCAAAATTAGTCATACTTGCGTGCTGAAGAAAGACAAAAACCATGAGGGAACCGTAGCAGGTAAAAACAGTGACCTTGAAGGTAAATAACAACTAAATATATTAGGAGAGAAGATCCAGGGTCCACACAAATAGATTTTATAATAAGGATTCTGAAATGTCGAGAAAAATGATACCTACCATTACATCCCTAAGCCTATACATACGATAAAAAGTAGACTAGTACTGGCTGCATATCTGTTCCTCTGAAGTTTTTTATTATTGCTTATGCTTTTTGTTTACTATTGCTCTTCCTTCTCTTTTAAATTTTGTATTTTTGTAAGCTTTGTCCTTTTTCGTCCAGTTTCAGGAAATAGAATACAGCTTAACTCTCCAAGTTTACAATTTAGAAGAAAAGACACAAGGCAAGGTAATAAATCCTACTCTGCAGCCAGTAACTGCCAACCTACCTGTTTAAGGACATATGTGACCAGACACTTTAACAGAGGCTGCATGAACCTCTGGAATACAGCTCATATTCTAGGCAACAGATGACTGCTATTAACCATTTTATGGGTTAGATTCGTTATCTTAATGCATATGGAGAATTTATCAAAGCCACAAACAAATTACATTAATAAACATCACTTTACCTTAGGTCATCCTGCAGAGTTACACTTACTTCCATGTTACAAAAAGTACCACACATTTGCACCACACACCCTCTGGAAAGAGCGCCTCTGTTTACTGCAGTAGGCTTTTCAGCTCAGACCTATTTAGCATGGCAGAGGCAAATACGTCCCGCCTCTAGTTCCTAACTACCGCTATTTCATGCTATCCTTCTGACAAGAGTTCTTTCAGGCTGTTCTGCTAATTACCAGGGTACAGTGGAGCCCACTATTAATTCCAGAGGCAGGAGGATCTCTGCAGGTCTGTGGCCTCCATTGGATTGGCCTGTAGGTTGTCTGTGGGGCATTTTCCTGATTAACGATTGTGGTGATTTGAAAGAGAATGGCCCCCAAAGGGAGTGGCACTATTAGGAGCTGTGACCTTGTTGGAGGAAGTGTGTCACTGTAGAGGTGGGCTTTGAGGTCTCGTGTACGCTCGAGCCACACCCAGTGTCTCAGCTTACTTCCTGTTGCCTTTGAATAAAAATGTAGAATTCCCCAGCACCATGTCTGCCTGCATGTTGCCATACTCCCAGCCATGTTTCCCACCGTGACGATAATGGACTAAACCTCTGAACTGTAAGCCACCACAATTAAATGTTTTCCTTTACTCTTATTATATTTCATTTTGGGGTTTCAAGACAGGGTTTGTATGTGTCTTTAGAGCCTGTCCTGGCACTGACTCTGTAGACCAGGCTGGTCTCAAACTCACAGAGATCTGCCTGCCTCTGCCTCCTGTGTGCTGGGATTAAAGGCTTGTACCACTACTGCTAGGCTAATGTTTTCCTTTATAACAGTTGCTGTGGTCACGGTCTCTCTTCACAGCAACAGAACCCTAACTAAGCAAGCAAAGCCCCAGTAAGCAGTGTCTCTGCTTCAAAGCCTTCCCTGACTTCCCTTTACGATGAACCGTGAGCTGTAATCTACATAAACCCTCTCCTCTCTAAGGTGCTTTTGGTCATGGTGCTTGTCACAGCAACAGACAACAAACTAGGACGATTTATAACTGATATGTTTGGAAACGCCCTTATTCTGATCACCATTTACCAAACATGAACAAGGAGTATTGCGGGAATAAGAAATTAAAAATGTACCTTTTTGGGAACACATCCAACATTCACCTAGGGAAAAAATTGTAAAAGACACAGGTTAAGAATGGCCAATCCAAGTCATCCAAACATCTCTAAGAATGAATGTCAATGATCACAGAGTCACCCGAGACCAGACACAACCGGTGACAGTCACAATGCACTGGATCCTATAGTTACTTCCTTTTCCTACTACAACCAGAAAATCATGCTGTGTCCCCCTGTAACAGAACAAACATTTTTATCCATTTTTCCCAAAGGGGGGACAGTGAGGAGAGAAAGGGCAACAGGGCCATTTAAGTGAGGGGCTTAAGCCATCTCTGTGGGCTCAGATGGCCCCGGCACACTCTAGGCCTGGCCATAGTGGCCTGGGTCTTTGATCCCAGCACTTGGGAGGCAGACAGATCTCTGAGAGTTCTAGTCTAGCCTGGTCTACAAAGCAAGTTCCAGGACAGCTGGGGCTACACAGAGAAAGAAACCCTGTCTCAAAAACAAAAGAGAGAGAAGGAAGAAAAGAAAGAAAAAAGAGAAAAAAGAAACACTCTACGCTTCCTCCCCACCCCACGTCTGACTTCCTAGTAATCTCTGAAACACTTGGACCCATCCTCACCTAAGTCTGAAGCAACTTCACACATAGGTGGTTTAAAGTGAGTGTGTGGGCAGGATGCCATTACCCTGGGAGGCGTTGGCAGGACTAACATGATTTCCAGGCCAGTCTGTGATGGGAGATGTCATTCTGTGTATATGTTTCTCATACTGGTTAATGGATAAAGCATTGTTGGCCAATAGGAAAGTAAGATAGGAGGGTCTAGGAGACAAAGAGGAAAGAGGAAGTAGTAAGGAGGAGTCAAGATGGAGAGTCTGGAGAGAGCTGGACGCCAGCTGGCTCTCCGAGGGTAAGAGGAGACCACGTGGAAATACATAGATTAGCAGAAATGGGTTAATACTTAAGACAGAGCTAGCCGATAAGAAACTAGTACCTGGCCAACAGCATTATATCAAATACAGAGTCTCAGTGTGTTAATTGGGGCTGGCACAGCGGCGGGACAAGACCAGCGGCGGGAGGAAAAACCTTACTAATTACAAGTCTGGGCTACATGAAATCCTAAATTTAACAAATGAAAAAGTCTGGAATATATATATCTGTTTAGGGTCAAAATGGCCAGACCACCAGACCTACACTACTGACTGCTAAGGCTTACCTGGTTTATTTTAAAGACTATTCATTCATTTCAGAGTTCACTAAGCATCCACTTGTGCCAGGCACTGTCCAAGGTAACACCCTATGTGGATCTAATCCCAGAGACTGTCAGGTTTCCCCAAGCTCTAAACTTATCTAAGGTGTCCACACAAAACCAACCAAGAGACTAGATGGAGAGGGTAACAAAAAACTGTAACCTTCTTGGGCCAGAGAATCTGCACTGCAGTGTTCCTGTGCACACTTTAGAGCCTGGAGACATAAAAGAGGGCCAGGTTCCTGAAATAGCACTTATCCTATTTTGGCAGCTCTGGAGAACAGGCTTCCAGAGGTATTTGCTGGTTTGGGAAACCAAGCCCCACCCCTCTCAGCAGGACAGCAGATACCTCCCTGACTTGGAAAGAATAAAATACAGCCCAGGGCCATCAGACTGCAGAGACCAGGGCTAAGGAGCACTGTCCATCCAGCTACACACAGTCCTTTCTCCTGCTGGTCCTCCTGCTTCCCCTTCTCTAACTGATGTACACACATTAGGTCTGGCAGCAGGACTTGAGTGTCTGGGACACCTGCAATACCAGCAAATGGCAGGTGGCAGTAGGAGAAGCAGCAGATAAAGGCCAGCAAGCATCAGCTACGTGATGAGTTTGAGGCAAGCCTGGGCTACATGTGAGTCTGTCTCAGAAAAGAAAAATTTTAATCAAAAAATATGGCTGGAGAGATGGCTCAGCAGTTAAGAACACATACTGCTCTTCCAGAGAACCCCAGTTTGATTCCCAACTCGCAGGACAGGTGGCTCACAACTACCAGTAGTTGTGTGGTTTTCAAGGGCATCTGGCACCTCTGACCTCTGTGGGCCCTCCACAAATTCATGCACAAATTTAAAGGCCGAAGTGATGGCTTAGCAGTTAAGAGCACAGACTGCTGTTCCAGAGGTTCAATTCCCAGTACCCACACGGCAGCTCACAATTGCCTATAACTTTGATTCCAGGGATCTGACACCCTCACATCAATGCACATAAAAATAAAGCTAATAGTTTAAAAAATGTAAGAAACAGACAACTCATTTTTTTAGTTCCCTCTCAGCTATAGGGAACTATTTTTCACTTCTGAACAAGTTGCTTGTTTGACCTTCAGAAACATTCTTTTTAAAATAAAAATATAAAGCCCGATGGTGGTGGCATATGCCTTTGATCCCAGCACTCGGGAGGCACCTGCAGGGGGATCTCTGTGAGTTTGGGGCCAGCTCTGTAGAGAGTGAGTTCCAGGACATGCTCCAAAGCTACAGAGAAACTGTCTAGAAAAAAACTAATAAGTAAATAAATAAAGAAAACATAGTAATATCACTGTAAGACAGCCAATCAACAAGGCAAATGGCCAAAGTTAAATAATACTTTCTACCAACTCCAACCAGCTGCCCACTTTACAACTGACTCTTTATTCCAACTTCATTTCTGAAGCTGGAATCCACAAAGCAAATGAGGGCAATTTTCTGTTTTTAAGGGGAACCTATTGGAGCCAAAGGAAAGGAACTTCCTTTTTACACTGGGCTGTTTAGAAAGTGACATTGAGAAATCAAAGGGCATGCTGTGGACAATAATTGAGGTTATGATCTGCATATTGCTAAGTCATTGTTTGCTCACTGGATGAGCCATAATCAACTGGATAGTCCTTTCCCAGGCCTGCCCTGTGGGTTTCCCTGGCAGCACTGTGCCACCCAGTTTGAGGTAACTTTGCCAGTCAGTTAACCCTTAGCACACACTTCCTGGCAAGATTGTACAGACCCCCTCAAGAACTGGGTTCCTCCTGTCCCCAGAGTTGGTGGATGCAGCAAGCATTGGATCATGAACTTCCACTGGACAAAGGAGCGGTAAATCAGAGAGCATTTCTCTTCCAAGGTCTTCGTGGGGAGAGGGCCACCACCTTGGGAGGCATGATCAGGAGAAACACTGGTTTGCACTTTTGAGAGACTTTGAAAGTGAACAAGGAGTGTCTCTAATGTGTTTCTTCTGCCCTCAGGAATAACTCAGGTGGACTGGGCAGTAAGGGATTATCTTTAATTCTAGGGGGAAAGATTCTGGGGGAAAAGGATACAACTTTTGATTCTCTCCCATCCCCTACCTATCCCCAGCCCTTTTCTTTCTTCCTTCCTTCCTTCCTTTCTTAATCTAATCCAACACCCTACAACTACATTTGGCTTTTGTTTGTTTGCCCCACGAATTCAGAAAATTAAGGACGAACTCCAGTGGACCCATGCTATTGGGTCTGTGAATGTTTTTCCTCTGTGGCTCAGTTTACCAGCAGTTCTGGACCCTACAGTTTTCAGTTCAATGCAGGGCAAGATCATCTCCTAGCTGGCTGGCTTCTTACCACATCTCTCACCATCAAAGTCTTAAAGGAACAGATTCTATTAAAAAAAAACAACAAATAAACAAACAAACAAAGTGAGCCCTGAATGGAGAAAATGCCTATCATTCCAGCACTTGGGAGGCTAAGGCAAAAGGGTGACAAATCTGAGGCCAGTCTGGACTACAAAGTAAGACCCAGTCTCAAAAAACCAAAAAAGTACTGGATGGTGGTGGCGCAGGCCTCTAATGCCCAGGCAGAGGCAGGTAGGTCTCTGTGAGTTTGAGGCCAGCCTGGTCTATAAAGAGTAGCCAGAGAAACCCTGTCTGGAGAGAAAAAAGAAGGTGCAAGGATATCCCCAACTACATAGAGTGTTAAACCTGAGATATGGGACATATATACAAACACAAATCTTACTTAAATTTCCCTATAATTTTAAAAAACCGAAACAGAAGTAAACTCTTAAGACAGGTACCAATCTTTAGTTCAAGCAGCTCTAACAGAACTCGTGGATCTCACAGTGAGAAGGCTGGGAAATCTAAGATCAAAGTGCTGGCAGTTGGTTGGTAGCAAGGGTTTCCATTGCTAGCTTGTATATGGACACTTTCTCCCTGTGCCTTGACATGACAGAGGCAAAGAAAACTCTGGTCCGCCCTCTGAAAAGATGCCTGCAGTGCCTGCTCCCACATCTGCATCTAACTGCATCATCTCCAAATATTAGCATATTGGTGTGTAGGCTTTCAGTAGTACCAACTCATCCATTTAGATGATCCGTGTCTCTTAGGGAAGGATCTGTCCACTGCATCACAGGAGTGTGTGAAGCCTTGGGGAAGGTGACAACCCAGAAATGAAAACAAAACAACAACAAACCCCTCAAAGCATGCACTCAAACACGAAGCAGACACCCTTGGAAGACATGTTACACTGGTTAATTCAGAAGCATGCCACAGTGAAAGTAGGAACATTAACAAACACAGGACAAAACTCCCTTCCTGCTGTCTCACTCCACAATCACGCAAGGGTTTCCTGGAGTCCTTCTAATGTTTTGCGAGTCCGTACTCTGACAAAAAGCCTGGTATTGTGTCTTAACTCAACTACAAAATTGTGGGTGCAGCTTTAGAATGTTACATCCGTAAGGTTGTATTCTAGAAATATGAAATCGGGAGTTACGGGGTGAAGATTCATGTGGGAACCCCAAATCCAGTCTTACAGCTTGTTGTATGTCTGTTTCGGGGTTCCCAGGTCTCACAGATGTCAGGCAAGAGTTCTACCGCTGAGCTGAGTGACAACCCAGTTCGAATGGGTTTAGAATACATAATGCCTGATGTGAAGAAGCTCTTCCCTTTCATTGGAGGACAATGCTTAAAAACCTTTATCACTGCTCCTCCAAAGGACCTGGGTTCAATTCCCAGCACCCACATGGTGGCTCACAATCATCTGTAATGAGATCTGGTGCCCTCTTCTGGCATGCAAGCATGTATGCAGACAGAACAAACATTATACAATACATAAATCAATCTAAACAACAAAGAACACAAACCTGTATCACATCACAGATCTGCCCATAGGACACAATGAAGCTTTGGTACCTAGGGCCAATGTCACAGGCCACAGCACACTTACACGAGCGTGTTAGCTGACAAGCTGCTCCTTAGTTGAGCAAAAGGAACTGAACAAAATGATGTTCCCTGACTTTGTATTAGGATCCAGGTGAAACAAACACACAGGGGCCCAGGCAGGTATGTGATGGACAGGAGAGAGCAGTGCTGGGCATGGGTGGTGCACACAGCAGGTGGATATCTGTGAGTTTGAGGCCAGCCTGGTCTACAAAAGCTAGTTCCAGGACAGGCTCCGAAGCTACAGAGAAACTCTGTCTTGAAAAGCCAAACAAAAACAACAACAAAAAACAAACAAAAAAAAGCAGAGCAGCTCATGTACTGCGTGCGGAAGGAGGAGGAAGTGGGCGTTAGCAGTGAGGAACAGGCTGGTGTGAGTGGCCTGCACTGTCAGGGGCAAGCTGCCACCAAGGGTCATGTCTGGGCCTGTGGCCCTTCTGCTGCCACCAAGGGTCATGTCTGGGCCTGGGGCCCTTCTGCAGCTGGCGTCTGTTGATGTCTGTGGACTGTGTTACCACCAAGTGTCACACAAATTTCTGTGGTCTGAGCCTCAGCCAGAGGCCATATGATCTAAGTGGCCTGAGCTGCCACCTGAGGCCATGATGACATTTCAGCTGGGGCCATGACCAGATCCCTGGTCCTACTGCAGTCAGGGTCTGTGTTGACATCCATGACCCGAGTTACCACCAAAAGCCAAGCAGATGTCTATAATCTGGGATGTTGCCTGATGCCACTTGATGGCAGAGAGTGGTACTGAGGTGTGCGCCACCACCACCTGGCACTTAATTTTAATTTTTAAACTTTACTTTAAATTTTTTAAGTTGTGCAACAGGGAGACCACAAGGGTGGAGGGCAGACATGGAACGATTGGGAAATGAATGGAAACAGGGAAAATGATGTGAAATTCCTAAAGGATCAATTTTTTAAAATTATATTAAAAATAAATATTTTTAAAAATCAAAAACAAACAACCTATAGTCAGTCATACAAGACTGATGAATCTCCAAAGATCAATTCTAACCTTATTTCCAATGATCCCAAACACACACACACACACACACACACACACACACACACACACACACAAAGTTAAGCCAAAAGGCAAAAAGAAAACAATACAAAAAACAGCAAAAAGCCCATCACTGCCAGCTCCCATATTTTTCTCAGTTAAGAGTATGGACCACTCTTGCTTAAGATCAATAGATGGTTCTCAGCATCCAGGTTATACAGATCTCAACTGCCAATAATTCTAGCTGTGGGGGGAATCTAGCCTCCGTGGGCACCTGCACTCACGTATACACATCATCCCCCAATACACACATGCATAGCTACATAATAAGAATGAAGTTTTGAAAAAGACTTTTATTTTATGTTTGCCAGCAAATAGGAATGTGTGGCATGTGTGTGTCCAGTGCCTTAAGAGGTTAAAAGAAGGTACTGGATCCCCTGAAATTAGAATTAAAGACAGTTGTCAGCTAACATGTGGGTGCTGGGAATTGAACCCCAATGCCATTTCTACAGGTTCCCCAAACAAATCATTATAAAAAGCACCCAAGACCAGATGTTGGTGGCACACTCCTTTAATCCCAGCACTCGGGAGGCAGAGGCAGGAGGATCTCTGTGAGTTTGAGTCCAGCCTGGTCTACAGAGTTCTAGGATAGGCTCTAAAGCCACACAGAGAAATCCTGTCTTGAAAATCCAAAAAAACCATAAATAAATAAATGGGCCTAGAGAGATGGCTCAGCACCTAAGAGCACTGGCTGTTCTTTCAGAGGACCTGGGTTCAATTCCCAGCACCCACTTGGCAGCTCATAACTGTAACTTCAAGTTCCAGAGGATCCAACACCTTTACATAGTCACGAATGTAGACAAAACACCAATGCACATAAAATAAAATCTTTTTTTAAAGCACCTGATACATAGATTTTCAATAATAGTCAGTGAACAAATGAACAAAAAAAAAAAAAAAAAAACCAAGTAGAAATGAAATATAATCCTACCACCTGAAAGTTACTGCTGGTGGAGAACTTAATTAACTGCTCTGTGTACAGGGACAGAACTCATTACATAGTTCAGGCTGGCCTTGAATTCAGCAATCTTCAGCCTCCTGGAGTGCCCCAGGAAGATGTGAGAATTAACATTTCTCTGAACTACTTAACTGGATAGCCATTACCTGCAACAACAAAGACAAGGCAGTGCTAGGCTGGAGAGATGGCTCAGCGCTTCAGAGCACTGGCTGCTCTTCCAGAGGAGCTGGGTTTGAATCCCAGCATCCACATGGCAGCTAAGAACTATCTGCAACCCCAGTTCCAGGGTATCCAATGACACCCCCTCTAGCCTCTATAGGTCCCAGGCCATGTGTGGTACACATGTACTCATGGAAGCACTCAACAAATAAAATAAACATTACACAACAAGAACAACAACAACAAAAACCAGACCAATCCCCCTTGGTGTGTGGCTGTATTTGGTCTCATTATAATGCAAGTTCCTTGAAGAAAGGGACCTCTTCCTTCTTTCTGTCTTATTCAATCTAAGAACCCAAGACATGAATAAAAGCCTCTATTTTCCCTGTACATGCTTGTAAGTTACTTTCTGCATTAAGTTCTCTATTGTAATTCTAGACAGACCATGTAACTGCAATCCTTGGGCAAATCTAAACCCATACCTGACCTTTGGTTAAATTTTCTCTGATACTGGCTGCAGCCCTACCCTGTTTTGTAATTTAAAGGCAAAAGCTACTTCGAGGAGATTCCCAGAGTTCTGCCACTGGAACAGCACTGGACATTCCAGAGACATCAATGCTTAGATGGAAATGGGAGCCGCTGCACAGGGATGAACTGGGCAAGGCCAGGTGTACCACAGTCAGCAGATGTCATTCTGAGCTGTCCTTTGCTTGCTATCCGAAGCAGTTTATCTGTCTTCACCTTCTTAATGGGACCCTAAACCCACCAGCCCCTTCTTTTATCAATGCCAGTTGAACCAACGATGACAGAAGATGTCACAAATCCATGGCGATGTGAACAAGGAAGGAGGAAAGCAAAGGCCTCAAGAGCGCAGGTGCCCAAGGGCACCCACCATTTGCGGAGGGCAGGTTCAAAGAGCACAATCATTAACAGTGACTTTTCCTTTCTCTTAGTCCCTCCCCTGCCTCTGCCTTGTTTTCAACAATGGCTTGAACCTGCTCACAGCTATTCATCTGGCTTCATTCATTTCACAAACAGCCATTGAGCAAGGCATATGAAGGTAACAAGCAGTACACAAATACTAGGAACCCATCCCTGCCCCTAAGGCGTTCCCAATTTAGTATAATTTAAACGTCAGTCTTCAAAAGCATGGAGAGAACCTATCCCCAATCTCGGGTGACTCTTACGTTCAGCATTTTCAGTCACCAACAAGAACTCTGCCTAGATCTTGTGATAGGTCACACTAGTGTGGGCACGAGACTACTTTAAAAATATCAAGTTTTTCAATTTACTTCTCTCTTTTCTCTCTCTCTGTAATTTGAAAACCTGTCCCTAGACAATGCAAAACAAACAGTATTAAAGTTCTGAGAAACTCCTTAAGATTTTTCTTAAGGCAGCCTGTCGTTCTCAGCGTTGGTTGCAGCTTAAATCCATTGCGAGTTTCTGAACTTACTAACACGCTGCACCTCCAGCCACAGCCTGGAGTCTCGGAGGCGCGGGAACACCCGCAGCAGACCTTCAACTCTCCAGGGAGTTCCGACGCGCAGCCAAAGTTGAGCACTGTCATTACCCATCACTCGGCCCTTAAAATATAAACGTTCAGGTCCCCCATTCCTTAAACCCAAAGCCCTCCCCTTCTCCACTCGCCTACGCCACTAGCAATTTCCCAGGGGCAGTTTCGTGTTTCCCTAGTTCCGGCGCCAAATCAATACTCCCCCGCATGGAGATGCATGCTGTGCGGCTAAGCTGGGTTTAAATGTTTAGCACTGCACCTGTGCTGCGTGGCGGGCTTGCTCGCTTTATTCTCTTTCCCGCCATCTCCCGGGACTGCGGGGCCTTGGAGTGAGGAGGCACCCGGGACGCGCGCAGAGGCCGGGAGCAAGCGCGTTGCCGACGCGGCCCGAGGGCCCCGATACTCACGCAAGTGCCACCCAGCTTGTGACTCTCCACCACCGCGGCCCTGGCGCCGAGCTCCGCCGCCCGTCGCGCACTGGCCAGCCCTCCCGAGCCGCCGCCGATCACTAGGTAGTCAAAGGAAACAGCAGCGGCCGGGGTCTGCTGCTCGCCGGGACTCGCCATGGTGCAGGTGAGCGCGCGCACCGCCCGCCGCAGGCTCGGGGCCGCGCCCACGCTCAGGGCCCGGGGCAGCAGCGCCATGCGCGGAAGTGTGCGCGGGGAGCGGGCGCAGCGTCGGCGTGACTAAGCACCCGCGGCGGGCCGGGCGGAGGGCCGCAGTCCCCACCCCCCGATCAGCACCCGCCCCGCAGCGCGTGGATCGCGACCAAGCAGGCGAACGTTTTGTTTTTCCACAGCTTTCCCCGGATCTGGTCCTGTACTGCCGAGCCCTGTTAGGCCTTGACTCACATTCAGAGTCTCTCGGGGCAGGAAGCAGGAATTTAAACATTTTAAACCTCATTTTTTACTTTTTAAGGTGATTTTCGGGCACTTGTACTTTTTAAAAAGGCTGGGATAATGAGTTGGCAGAAATGATTTTTGTGATCCACGGATGAAGCTTAAAGACAATTGCTGTGGGAGAGATTGAGATGGAGCTAACTAAACCGGCCAAGATCCCAGGCAGAGTCGTTGGGAACAGTGTATAGGTCACATGAGTTTAAGGCTGGGAGGAACACAGGGTCCCTAGGACCTGTACACCAATCAGAACGCACCGAATTAAAATGTTATATAGTTCTTTTTATTTTTTTTCCCTCGTGCTTGAAAAGTAATATAACTTGGGAGTTGGAGGTAGGAGAAACTTGGGTTCAAGGACAAGGAAGAAGGAAGATTTTTTTTTCCTTCTAGTATAGTGCCCTGTAATAAATGTAGACAGAATTAACAGTGGGAAAATATTATCAAGGTCACAGTGAAATCGGCTCTGTTCGGAACCATCAATGGGCTAAAGTTTGATAGGGATACAGTTATATAGACAGATGAAATTATAGATACATATAAATAACACCCACACACACAAACACACACTTATTCCTTCTTGATCTAACATGGCACTATTTTTGCAGGTGATATCTTGCCCAAAAGATCAAGATTGAATACTGCTAAGTAATGAGAAAGGTGCCATTGTGATGCAATAACAAGTATTCAATTTCACTTACACAATTCTCTTGCTGTTTAAAAACCCACTTACACAATCCTCTTGCTGTTTAAAAGCCCAGGGCTTGAGAGATGGCTCAGTACTTAACCGTGCCTCCAGAGGAGCAGAGTTTGACTCCCAGCTCCCAAATGTCAGCTCACAACCACAAAGGAATTCTAGAACAGCCAGGGCTACATAATATAGCGATCTTGTCTCAAAACTGATCAAAGAGTGAATAAGACAGAGACAGACAGGAGAGACTGGATTTAGACCCCAGAAAATATATCCAGAGGAATTAAGAAGCTGGGTGGTGATGTTGGCACAGTCCATTAATCCCAGCACTTGAAAGGCATAGGCAGGCAGATCGCTGTTCAAGGCCAGTGTGGTCTACAGAGTTCCAAGACAGCCAGGGCTACACAGAGAAACCCTTGTCTTGAAAGTAACTAATTAAGCAAAATAAAGAGATAGGTACAGTGGGAAACTTGTCATACCAGCTCTCTGGAGGCAGAGGCAAAAGGATGGCAAAAAACAAGACCCTGTTTCAAAATATGATGGCATGGAGTGCTTTCCATCTCAAAGTTTGGTGAAGTAAAAAAACATTCCTTTTAGCTCAAAAGTCCAGTAGTGGCCAGCCAGGTATATATCACATGCCTCACAAGACAGAGACAAGAGGATCTCTGTGAGTTTGAGTGAGACCCTGTCTCAGAAAAGAAAAGAGATAGGCTGGAGAGATGACTGAGTGGTTAAGAACACTGGCTGCTCTTCCAGAGGACTGGGGTCTGGTTCTCAGGACCCACACAGCACCCATAACTAACTCTAGTCGCAGGGGATCTAGTGCTCTCTCTGGCCTCTGTGAGCTGTGTGTGTGTGTGTGTGTGTGTGTGTGTGTGTGTACAAAACACCCATACACAGAAGAGAAGAGAATAAAACGAGGAAGAGAATAGAACATGATTTGAACACTCTGCTACAACCATTTCTCCTCTATTTATTTGTATGTGTATGGTTGTTTTGCCTGTATGATGTATGTGCATCATATACATGCCTGGTATCTATGGAGATTAGAAGAGAGCATCAGATCTTCTGGAACTGGAGTTACAGAGGATTTTGAGCTATCATGTGGGTGCTGAGAATTGAACCCAGGTCCTCTTGAGAGCAGCCAGTGCTCTTAAACACTAGACTAGACATCTCTCTAGTCCCCACTTCCTTTTTTATTTTTTATTTTTTCCAGACAGGGTTTCTCTGTACAAACCAGGCTGTCCTCGAACTCTCGAACTCACAGAGATCTTCCTGCCTCTGTCTCTTGAGTGTTGGGATTAAAGGCATATGCCACCAACCACCACCCTGCTTTTTTTTTTTTTCCCTAAAAAGACTTTTTAAGACAGGGTCTCACTATGTAGCTCTTGATAACCTGGAGCTTGCTGTGTGGACCACACTTCCCTCAGACTCAGAGAACCACTGCCTCCATGTGTTGAGATTAAAGGTGTGTGCCACCACACCCTGGACTTCTCATACTTTTTAAAACTAGCACACAAAATAACATGTTTCCCTATAGTACGCCCATAGATACTTTGTTATGGTTGATTTAACTATTTTTCCTTCTTGGCATACCTAAAGTAGTATTTGTTAATCCCATTATCTGTCACTAGTAGACTTTTTTAATCTTTAAAATTACATTTATTCTTTATATTTTTGGTTGTGAGCCTAGCCTTTAATGGCAGAGTCACCCCTCCAGCCCTCCATTTATTTTATTTTTTTTTTTTTTTTTTGTGTGTGTGTGTGTGTCTAGGTCACAGGACAATGTTTGCAGTTTGTTTTCTCCTTCTACCACATGGGTTCCAGGGGTAAGTTTAGGTCATCAGGCTTGGTGATGTGCACCTTTACCCAAATGTACACTTTTAGCTATTTCTTCAACCCAGATCTTTCCTGATGATTACTTTTTCTTTCTATGTGTTTCCTTTTCCTAATTTTTAGAGCATGTAGATATTATTTTATATTGGGTATTTTTATTATTTAAAATCTGAATAGAAACAGTGAACCAAACTGTAAGTTTTGTTTTGTTTTGTTTTTAAATTCTGAAGGGTAGGTGCCTGAGAACTGTCTCAGTGGTTAAGAGTACTGGTGGCTCTTCCAGAGGACCTAGGTTCAATTCCCAGCACCCACATGGAGGCTCACAACTGTCTAGAGTTCCAGTTCCAGGGGATTCTACACTCTCTTCTGGCTTCCACAGGCACTAGGCACAGAAGTGGCACACAGATGAAATTGCAGACAAAGCACCAATACACATTAAAATGAAATTAAATTAAAAAAAAAATAAAACTGTCTCTTTCCACTCCTCTGAAGAGGCAGGCAGGTCTTTGCTTCTCTCTCTCTCTTTCTCTCTCTTTACCTTCCCTTCCCCCAGTCCCTTCCCTTCCCCCAATAAAACCTCCTACATAAAAGGTCCCACACCTTTAATCCCAGCACTTGGAGGGTAAAGGCAGGTAGACCTTTATGAATTTAAGGCCATGAGTTCCAGGCCAGCTGATGCTATACAGTGAGACCTTCTCCCAACCATAAAAAGCTGGGAGATGGCTCAGTGGTTAAGAAAACCCTACTTCAATTCCCAAAACCCACATTAGGAAGGTCACAACAGCCTGTAACTCTAGCACTAGGAGATCTGAAACCTCCAACCTCCTGGAGTACCCACACTTATGTGCACATCCCCATACACAGACACACACATATGAACACATACCTGTGATTTAAAATAAAGTTAATATTCCGGGTGTTGGTGGCACACACCTTTAATGCCAACACTCAGAGGCTGAGGCAGGCAGATCTCTGTGAGTTCCAGTCCACCCTGGTCTACAGAGCTAGTTCCAGGACAGCCAGGTCAGCCCAGAGAAACCCTGTCTCAAAAACCAAATCAATAAAAAATTAAAAGATGAAAACCTGACTGGGCTACAGAACAAGTTCAAGGCAGGCCTAAGCAACTTGGTTATGCCCAGCCTGGCTTCATGGATGGACCTGACTGGGGAGGCCAGTATAGGAGGAAAAGACAAACAGAGACACACAGAGAAGGGAACTGGGTGGATTGGTCTCTTTGATAGAGAAGCCACAGCAGAGGCAGGACTATTGCACACAGATGAACAAGGGATGAAGTAATTATGTACATATAAGCCAGGAGGCAGGGTTTATGGTAATCAGTTGGTTCAAGGAGACAGGTTGAAGCTAATCTCAGCAGGACCAGTCCCAGTAGAGGAGCAATCTTCAGGTCATAAATATCTGGGATGAGGAAGCTATGGTGGACATTTCCTGTACACACTGTCAGCATCCACAAATGGGCCCAAAAAGAAGACTTTGCCATTTTCCAAGTGTCTGAGGTTAGGGTACTTGACATGGCAGTGCCCATGTCAGCAGCACAAAGTTATTCAGGTCTTCATTCATTCAGAACTTTCTCCATTCCCCCCACAACTTAGTGAGACTGTTACAAAAATTTAAAAGGGGTAGGAGAGATAGCTCAGTGGTAGACTGTTTTTCTAGCATTCATGAGGCCCTACACACACACACACACACACACACACAGAGAGAGAGAGAGAGAGAGAGAGAGAGAGAGAGAGAGAACATGAAGACTCATGATGACATTTTGTTGCTGCATTCTTACAAGGTCAAAGTTGAAGAACAAAGTGGAGGGATGGAGACTAGGGCTATAGTTAATCTTGGTTGTCAACTTGATTGGATTTGGTATCAACTGAGAGACATGGATCTTTGTGGGCGTCTCCAGGAAGGATTAACTGGATGAAGACTCTCCCTCTGAGTGGGAAGCACCTTCTGGTGGAGTTCAGATGTGAAGGGCTCTGTGGGGGGGAAAGTACTGCTGCTTGCTTGTGTATCTTTGCTAGTAGCTTGTGAGTGCACCCACCTCCTGCTATCAGGCTGGACTAAGTAGCTATCAGGCTGTGAGCCTCTCCAGCAGCATGCAGCCTGTTTGACTATGCAGCCTGTACTGTGTAAACAGACTTCACAAATTCCCTTTTATCAGTTCTATTCCTGTAGGGCATGCTGACTGACACAGGGACACTCCTTTCAGTCTCTTTGGTAACAATGC